TTTTTTTTTTTTTTTTTTTTTTTTTTTTTTTTTTTTTTTTTTTGAGGGGTTATCAAACAGAGTCTAAAATCTAACTAAAAGTTGGTTGTTATTTTTATACAATACGATATTTGCTTTTTATCATATTAAAATATTGTATTACGTTACGTCAATGTTTATTAACTATTTTCCCAATCCCGACTCCGCCCCGGTCCTATAACTCGACCCAATCGCAGCCTCAACCCCTTACCCCGTCCTTAACTTAGGTTCCAATCTTTGATATATTCAAAATATCATATATGATATGTTTCTTATTATGGTTTTTTAGGTTGAGTTATATATACAATTGCTTTAAGTTAATTGTAGAATACAATTTAATATATAGGTTTCTTATCATATTAGACATAGCAGTCTGTATTATATTTATTTTGAATGTCATAGCATAAACCATCAAAAATAATAAAATACTTATTCTTAAAATAATCCAATGGAAATTGTAATATTTCAATTTCATTTTTATAAGCATGTCATATTCGAAATTTTACAAAAGCAAAAAGAAGGGTGAAATTAAGGAGGTGATTAAACTGAACAAGGCATACAAAGACAAGCACATTAAGGTGTCATTTGTTTCGTGGGTTCTTGTAATTTGAATTTACGAGTCTGGTTCAAATTAATGTTTGGTTACCTATTGACGAAGATAGATTTTGAATCTTAAAATGGTATTTAATCTAAAATGGTTTGTGGAGAAATTATCCCCTTAAGTTCTCATATGTTCGATATATTTTCTATAGTAAAACCATAGAACTATTTATAAATACCCCATAGAATATATAAGTTTTAGATTTTTATCCATCACACTTGATTAATACCCTTTAATCAAATAACTATATAAGTTAAAAGGGTAATAATCAAAAGTAAATGGTAAAAATCTTAAAACAATACATGTGAATTCATCAATGTTCTCTTTGTTTTATCCCATAGTTCACACTTTAAACTTTGAAACACTAGTTTAAACCATAGCCCAATAAGATAAAAGATGATGTTGTAGCCAACACGTACTCATAATTTTTCAGCCAAAATTATCATAATATAAAGTCACCCATTAATTTATTCTTTGAATTCTACAAACATTACTGGCTGATATTGATATATGTGAAAAGGTCAGGAGAATTACACAAAATAGCATGAAGCTAGAGCCACATTTTATTGCTAAATGAAAATGCCAAACATAAAGAAGTTGCCAAAATACAAGGAAACGAGCGTTTGATAGAGCTGTACCAACTATTGAAAAGTTCAGTGGCGCTTCTTCCCTGTTGCAGCTTCCCAAGCCTGTAAAACATGATTCACGATTTCCTCTATGCCAACCCCATGCTTTACCTGCATATGTGTGTAAATATTAGAAAATCTTTTCATGTTTCAAGGTTTTTTTATTTGGGGAATAAAAATATGGGAAGGGGCAATCAGCCAAGTCTACCCTCTTTGGACGTGACCAAAGGAGCCCCCACGCACAGAAAGATATCCACTACGCCATAGCCACTTAGAATGAAACCCGTCACCTTAAGCCCCACCAAGGGCTAATAAACATCAACCCGGTGGCCGGTAGCCTAGAAATAGTCTCAAGCACTTCCTATAAGGCTTGAACCTAACACCTCACATCTACCAAACTACATGGGAGAAAGCCCCAATGCCACTAGCCTACCATCCTGATGGGTATGTTTCAAGTACGCTGCTACCATAGTAAGTACCTCTGTTTAACTTAATTCCAGATCTGGAGGACGTATTTTGTCATCTAAGGTCAAGGAGCAACAGTACAATGGTGTACCTTGTAAGCTTAAAACCTCAAAATCTTGTCATCGTAGCTCTAGTTACGAACTGATTTATCCTGGTAAAAATGAAACTTCTCTTGAAAATTTACACGATCTTTTATAAGAAAAGATGAGGACACTGCAAATTCTCTTTTGCTTTTCTTTTTCACTGTCACAAATTTGAAAGCAACACAACATGCCCTTGTATTTGCGCAACCTCAGAAATTCATAGAGGGGAGAAATCAATTTCTATTCATGGCACAAAAATGACACTGATCCAATTAAAGTGCGTTTGCAACAAACCTGAGCAAACACAAAGGGACCGCCATCTCGCATACGAAGTGCATCGCGCTCCATCACTGCTAAATCAGCTCCGACTGCGGGTGCAAGGTCAGTCTTGTTTATTACCTGCAATTAGCTTTTTTCCATCAGATTATTTGCATCTGAACAACTTCCTCATAATGTTATAAAATCAGCAGTGATTAATATAGGAAGATTAAGTTGATGCAAGAAACAATGCAGCAGCTATGATTATGAGAGAGCACATACCAGGAGATCAGCTTGAGTGATACCAGGTCCACCTTTTCGAGGAATTTTATCACCAGCAGATACGTCAATTATATAAATGATATAGTCAGCCAGTTCTCTGCTGAAGTTGGCAGCTAAATTATCTGCAGCCACACAAATTTGAGACTTGAGAGAATGTTGAATCATTGAATCGTTTGGTAGTTTAAAGCGTTTGGTAGTTTAAAGCTCAATATAACTCTTGGTTGCTACAAAAAAACACTGTCTAAACATTTCGTTTTCCAACTAAAATTACATAATGAGAGAAGTTGTAACTTGTTGTTCCTTTCCCTTTTCCCTCTGTAGCTACAACATTTGACCACCAATACCAGCTTCCAAATTAATTGGACAACTGATTCACATATTAATACCTTGATTCAATGCAATAGAAAAGTCAGTCTAATTTAAATTTTCGTCAACAATTCATCCAAATATTAGTCACAATTGCTGAAATTGCTAATGAAAATCAGAAAAGGAGACTCGTGTAAGTGGCATAATCTCATGTTTTTCAAACAATACCTCCTCCGGATTCACAAAGAAGTATGTCTGCCTTGAACAAGTTGGACAGCTCCTCAAGAGGGCCAAGATTGATGCTGATGTCTTCACGAATCGCCGCATGTGGACAGCCTCCAGTTTCCACGGCGCGTATCCTCTCTTCGGGAAGTGCTCCATTCTTCACCAAGAACTCACCATCCTCTTTTGTGAATATGTCATTTGTCACCTGAAATTATCACGGTTGTTCAATCTTCAAAAATAATAATAATAATAAAAGCACCCAAATACAGGCTTATAATTCATTCAGACATTGCACTTACCGCAGCAAGACTATACTTGTCCCGCAAGAATTTACAGAGAGCTAACATGAGAGCTGTTTTTCTGCATAAAATGAAATGGAAATTTCATCCGAAACCACATCATTTAATAATTTGGTTCACTCAAAGAAAGGAAAAAGGTGCAAAATATAAACTAATTTCAGTCACACAGATAGTTGTGGAAATTAAAGCTGTTTACTTATGAATTCAAAAGGTCCCGAAAAATAAATTTACCAAAGTTAGAAAGTTTTGTATCCACATTGGACAACATTTTAGCAGGGTAGAAAGATTTCAAATTGACAGTAAATCAGAAAATATGTCAGAAATGAGGTATATAATGTGAATTTTAGAAGTCTTTTTATTTATTTATTTTTTTCAGCTAAAGATTCTTCATTGCACTAAGTTTAGTTTTCAATTGTCGTAAACAGTTTTACTACGTTTAAAAAGCTCTCGTAAAAAAATTACATATATTTTTTATTATAATTAAAAAATTCTCACGTAAATTCACACATCAACTCAAATTAAATATTTAAATTAAAGAACTGCCTAATACTCTGAGAAAAAGATTAAAAAAACATTAAAAATATTTTTATTCCAGGGACAACTCAAAAGAGGCAAAAGAAGAAAAAAAAAAAAAAAGCAAATAAATTTAAAAAAAAAAGGTGATTATATAAATACCCAGTTCCAACTGGTCCGCCAATGCCAATAGTGAAGGCTCTTTCATTGAAATCTCTGGTGAGAAGTGGCGGAGCTCTTTTGCTGAAGAACCCCGGAGAGTATATGGGCTCGTGTGAGTGCGGCGCTAACCCATCGTGGCTATGGTACACCCTCCCGTCCGGCCCCACCCACGCCCCTGTTCTCGAATCCCCATGGTGATCATGATCATGATCATGGTGGTGGTGATGATCATGATGATGGTGGTGGTCGTCTGAAGCCATCCACTGCAAACTATTTAATTTGAGTTTCCACTCCGACTGAGCAACCGTGTGAGGCAGTGAAGAGAGCAAAGAGTTAATCTGTCAATGGGGCTGATCTCGGAAAAATAGTGTATTTGATAATGGTGTCAACCTAAATTACCGAAATACCCTCTTCCAAGGTTTGACATTATACTTGTATTTTTTTTTTTAAAATGAATGTTGAGAATATTGCGTACAATTGTACAGCGCTACATGTTACATCATAAACTTGAACTTTTTTTTTTTTGGGATTAACAATTTCATAATTTTTGTGAATTATTGAGAATTTTTTTTCGTTTTATATTTAAACCGTTCAAATTTATGAGCGATTTTATTTTATTTTTGTGAAAAATATCAAACTGCTTAAACTGTTTAAAAAATTTATTTTTAATTTAATTAGTGACTTAAAAAAAAAACCCTTTAAGCTGACCATGAACACCCTTATATAAAATCAGACATGACGCACAACCCAAATAACAAAAAAACTGACTTTACCAATATCCAACTGATTTCATCAACAAAGAAATAAATTTACTAGAAATACCAAAAGCGTAAAAATGATAGCACTCGTGACCTGATCTACTTGCTCCTCTGAGCATGGAAGCGAGATCATCAAAGAGTTAGAGGGACTGTCCCTTTCTTTGCTGAATTTTTTTGTTTAAGCTTTGTCGTTCTTCTTTTTGTGTATTTCTTAGTTCTTTTTTATTTAGAATAGAATTTCTTCTTTTAATGGCATTTTAAATTTTTTGAGGTCAAAATAGTGCATAGTATGATAAAATATGAGTTTGTATACTAAATATATAATTTCATAGAATACATTTAATAAGATTAAAAAATAAATGTATATTTTCTCAATAAACCTAAAATACAAAGCAAACATAAATAAAAATTATTATACACAAATGTAAAGTATTTATTTGTATTGTTATTGAAAACAATAAATAACTTAGAGAAGATGTATCTTGGGAAAATAAGAGGGAGAGGCTCTATAACAACAACGAGAGGGTGTATTTTGGGGTCGACGCGAGCTTCCAACCTCTAAAGTTTTTGGGAAGATCGCAGAGATCACCGGCGTTGAGTTCGTGCCGATGAAAGTATGGGGGGTTACTATAATGGCCCCGTTTAAAGTGAAGAAGTCGTCGCTCTTCTACCGTAGATATAGGACACGTTCGCCGCGGAATTTCGTTGAAACTCCGGGAACTAAGTCGTGGAAAGGAGGCGAGGAAGGTGGACCGACGCGTGTGGCAGTCGCTACTCGTCGGTGAAGGCGTGTGAGATCCATGTGTCGCCGTATTTCTGACGCTTTAATCGCTATTTTAGGTGCTTTTTTTGGTACTGCGCTTCATATATTTCCGGTGTTTAGAGGCTTGATCTTGCCGGGTTGATTTTTTGAAATTTTTGTAAAATTTTTACAGTTTTTATGTTTTTTTATTTATTTATGTTAGTATTGTAATAATAGTAATGGTTTCCTTATCTACCAGCGTTGTCTCAGTTAGAGGGTGATTTTTCCACTACTCTTAGTCTATGTTATGTGACTTGGGTAGTCTTTTATGTGTAGCCGAATCATATTATTGTGCCACTTATTAGAGAAGTCCTCTCTGTTATTAGGTTAAGGGTGCATTTATATTGTCTAGACGTCACCAATTTTTATAACTTTAAATTTATCTTGTATCCTATTATTTTAATAACTTTTTAATGAATTCTCCTTGCCAATTGATTATTAAAAAAACAATGAAATAACATTTTAATCTATCTATCAATCAATCTCTCTCTCTATCTATCTATTAGTTGGGCAAAAATGTTTTTTCTTTTTTTTTTGGCCTTTCTCTTTGTTTTTTCTTTTTCTACCTTTTTTGTACTTTTTTTTTGGCTCCCATTATTTTTTTCTTTATTTTTTGTCTTCCCATATTTTTTATTTGCCTTTTATTTTTATTTCTTCTCACTTTTTTATTGTTTTTTTTTTGTTGGTTCCCCTCAAATATCTTATGTGTTTTCAAATCCATTTCATTAAAAGTTTTCTCGATTTGTTTTTCTTACTGTTATGTAAAACATAATTTATTAAATGAACCTTTATGAATATTTATTTTATAATTACTTATTATTTTTTTTTCTACAAATATCTCTTTGTAGTATCCTTTTAGTTCTTACTAGTGAGTTATCCGTGCTATTGCACAGATGCTTGTTTATTTATTTTATGATAAGATTAAACTAAATAATGTAATACTCAGTTATGAAATACTGAGTATGTAGTAAAATATTTTAAAAAAAATAAAGTATGAAAATGATATTCAAAAGTTAACACAAATGATGATACACGATCAAAAATCAGTTTCCAAATTGTTGTAAATTTACTACATATACATATATATTTATTTACATATATATATATATATATATATACACGCGCGGTGCTCACGTGATTCGTTTAAAAATAACGGTTATATAAATTATTTTTCAAAAAAGGTGAAAAAAGAAAAAAAGATACCTCTCACTCCAAAAAGATTTTAACTTATTTTATTGTGTGTTAATTAGTTTTATTATGTTTTGTTTGAATTTATTTTTTATTTAATTTGGTGTGATTTGATTCTATTTTAACTAAATATATTTTTATTTATATTTTCATTAGAATTAATCACAACATTTTCATGTAAGTAGTATCGAAAAGTTAGTGCAAGATGGTTGTTAAATGGTTATAATTCATACAAATTATTTATATATTTTTTACCTGTGCGGCATAAAAAAGTGCAAAAAATAGGCCAATAAATCACTTAAAAATAAATAAATAAATAAATAATAATAATTAGGAAAAGTAAAATGATTCCAAGTGAGGCATGTAATCTATTTAAAATAACTAATATGCAAATTGTTTAAAAATAGAAAGAAACGAAACGGGAAAAAACGTATAAAAAAAACGTGTCAGAGTACGATGACCCGAATTCTATTTGGTCCGGCCCAAAGAGCTCGCGTTGCAAGATATGTGGCAGAGCTTTAATAATGAAACTTTTTTGAGGATATGTAGTGGTAGTGGAGGGATCAGGCCGAAAGGCCCATATGAACCTATTTTGTTTAATTTATTTTTTAATTTAATTTGACGTGATTTTATTTTATTTAGTGTATTTTTTGTATTTAATTTGATCATTTATAATATTTTTATCTAATTCGTATTAGAAATTTCATGCAAAACGGTGTTAGAACGGATAAAATCGGACTACAAATCCATTATAAAGTAGTAATTAAATTTAATAAATAATAATAATTAAAAATAATCTGACATTTATTATAGGCTATTGGATCTAAAAATTCAGTGGCTGCAATTGGGGCGTGAAACACATGCGCAAGAAGATGCGCGTCCAGCGTGTGGGAGGGGACAACGACGTCAGGAAAACCAGAGGTGGGCCCCGCCACTTTCTTCTTTCCTGTGAATCAAAGTGCGACACATGGTTAAGCTGGCGGCCACAATAGGAGATGCACGAGATTGTCTGCTTCAGTTTCACGTGAGCGCTCTCTTCTTCACCATCAAAACAACGACATGTGGCTACGATGTCTATCAGGCGGTCTGTATTTTGCCACGTGGAGAGCACTTAAGAAGATGCACAATTGGGTTTCGACATGTGATTTTTATGCTAAATCTCGATGCACACAATCATTTTCCCGCAAGAGAAAAAAATAACTCAATAATTGTGGGCTAGTATAAACGACTAAAAAGTCCAACCAAAAACAACTTAATAAATAAGAAACCGAGGGCAATTTACACTAAATTTCACCACACACAATTATTTTCCCACCAGAGAAAAAAAATAACTCAGTAATTGTGGGCTAGCAAAAATGATTACCAAGCCCAAAAAAAACAACTGAATAAATAGGACACTGAGGGTAAAATGGTCAGAGTAACACTAAAAGGACACGGGAAAAATTTTCTATAAACAAAGGGAGAGAAGGAACCGGGCACTGTTTAAAAAACAGTAACTTGGGTGCCACTTATAGATAGTATAATGTGTACTCTTAAATATATATATATATATATATATATATATATACTTTAAGTAAACTACTGTAGCATTGCTAAACGACTAGTTTTTTTTACCTACTTAAGTAAACTACTTGAAACTACTTGAGCATTGCTAAACGGCTAGTTTTTTTTTTTTTTTTACCTACTTAAGTAAACTACTTGAGCATGGCTAGACGGCTCTGCGGAGCTGTTTAGCTCTTTAAACACATGGGTTGAGTCCTATTTGAGTCCCACGGAGATGAAGCCCTATATGAGTCCCACAGTGATATGGGGCCCACTCCATGTGTGTGGGGAGCTGTGACTCCGCGAAGCCGTTTAGCATTTTGAAATTGCTCTGACATTTTTATATTTATTTTCTTTTTTACCCTGTATATATCTCTATGGAGATATGTTTTTACTTTTTATCTATACCATATAATCTATATCTATACTATATAAAGATTATATCTATACTATATAACTACCGAATGAGTTTCGGTTTTAGTTAATAGTTATATGTGAAATGTTTAGCGCATAAGTCAAAATGTGTGGAATGTTTCGTAGAAGTATTTTTATTTTTTGCTTTTTTTTTATTTTTTTATTTTTTTCTTTTTTGTTGTCCGTTGCCTTTGGGTTTTTTTTTTCGTTTTGTCTATTTTTTTTCTTTTTTTCAACTATTTATATAACCATTATTTTAAAAGATATTGCGTGTATTTTCACTAGTCAATTAAATGTTTGAAAAAGCCTTGTCTATCTCAATAATATCTATTATATATTATCTTAAATATATAAATATATGAAAAAATAAACAAAATAATTTTTTTAAAAGAAAAATGAGAAATACCTCTAAATTAATACCCTAAATACTTTCTAATTCTTGAATATTAGCTCATTAATTTATACCCTTTTACAATTAAAATGATTAAAATAGTTAAATTAATCATTTTTTAAAATTCCAATCTTACCCTCATTATACTTATAGCACACAAAATACCAGAAATTCTCTCTCTACTTATTCTTCTCTCTAGTTTCTTTCTCTTTCTTCTCTCTTCTTGATATCTTCCTTCACCCAGCCATATTCTTCTCTCTAGTTTCTCTCTCTTTCTTCTCTCTTCTTGATATCTTCCTTCACCCAGCCATCACTCCTTCGGGAGCCGTCGCTCCTCCACGCAGCCGTAACTCCTCCGGCAACTGTCGTCCCTCCTCCGGCGAGAGCCATCACTTCTCCAGCGAAGAGGTAGTTCATGAGACGTCGAACTTCTTCGTTTTCCATCAAAAATTTGGCAACAAAAGATCTGACGAAAATCACTTGTTACGCTGTACTTCGACGAAACAAAAATTGTCGCCCTTCCTTCGGCCAGAAGTCGCCGTTCTCCTAGAAGAATCACAGATCTCATCCTCTGTGTCTAGATCACAGCTCAAATTGTGCATTTTCTACTTCGAGAATATTCAACGATCTCCTCCGGGAAGCTTCGCACTCCAAACTCTGACGAACATTAAAGGTAACGAAATGAGCATAAACATCTTCTGAAAACTAAATGCACGCATGAAAACTGACGAAGTTATCCTGAACTCATAACCTAATAAATTATAGCGACGTGGTACTAATTTTTGAATGTGCCAATGTTTTCATTGTGATTATTGATTGTGCTATGATCATACAATTAGTGAAGGATTATTCATTATTTGAGTGAAATTTATCACACTGCATTACTATTGTTGTTCTAAAACAGAACATTAGCTTGTTGTTTATACAATATAATCTGACAGATTATTGCATTATGAAAATGTTGAAATGCATTGGTGTTGTCCATATAACTCACAATCTTCTACGTTATTGGTCATAATCTAACAGATTATGGTTCTATATTGTTAGAATGCATTGCTCTTTGTTACTGTAGAAATAATAAATTATAATCTGATAGATTATTGTACTATGAAAATGTTGAAATTCATTGGTGTTGTTCATACAACTCACAATCTTCTAGGTTATTAGTCATAATCTAACAGATTATGATTCTATGTTGTTAGAATGCATCCCTCTTTGTTACTGCAGAAATAAAAAATAGTATGACATTCCATAATATGTCCGATTAATCTAATCAGTAAGTATGTCTTTTGTGTATGAACAGATGGTAGGTAGAATAAAAAGAACAACTATGTTGACTACGAATTAACAGGGGTTGTAATTCCCTTAAATGCGAAATACCAAGACTTGGTTGAGTTGGTTTAGATCCGTCTAGGTTTAAGAAATGAAGATGGGAAGCTTAACATGGAGTACAAAATTGATGCCGGGTCACCAAGGATTAAAATCCAAAATGACTTGAATGCACAATTTTACTTGTCGTTGAAGAAGAAGGAAGACGTGACATGTTTCCCTCTATGTGTAACTGTGGAGACCGACCTTATTGTTTCATCAAATGAAGGGAGCAACCGAGTATCAACAACAAACATGTCAGATATAGAAGACACTCATCAATTGCAAACTATCATGACTACCGACCCAATTTGTAAGGTTGAAATAAAAGAATCTGCTTTGCAAATCGATGCTGAGCAGTCTACAAATATAGACCTTGCCAAGGGTAAGCAAAAAAAGAAGAAATAAATTGATCATATCATGGATGACACACAGGAAATCATCCCCATTATGGATGAAACATAGTGTGAAAACTTGTATGTGAACCAACTATTCAAGAATAAGAAGGTTCTTAAAAGATCAGTGGACATGCTAGCATTGAAGGAAAAGTATCAACTTCATGTCGAGAAGTCAAAAACGACAAGATTAGTGCTTAAATGTATAGATGAAAATTGCAAATGGTGGCTGCGAGGTGCGAAGTACAACGATACAAAGATGTTTTAAGTGACGGTTTACAATTCAACACACACATTCTCGTTGGACCTTCTACAGGATGACCACCGACACGCCACCAGCCAAGTTATTAGTGCTTGCATCAAACGGAAGTATAAGGAGCCAGGAAAGATTGCGTACACATCAAACAATATAATCCAAGACATGGAAGATGATTATGGTAATAATCATGTTACTTATAGCTATTTTACTATTTTATTCAGCATTTTAGGAAATTATTACATTACAAAACTATTAATTCTGTAATGTATCATCTCATTTTATGATATTGTTTTGTTGTTACTTAAAAAAATAGAAACTTGGCATGTTATACAATGTTACTGCAGAACAAGGAATAATCTATCTGCTTATAGATCATATTTTGCCAAATTATATGTTGTTTCTGCAGAACATTATATAATCTGTCATGTTATAGGCCATAACAAGTAATAATCTGTTCGATTATAGATCATATTCTGTAAAATTATATGTTGTTTCTGTAGAACATTATATAATCTGTCATGTTGTAGGTCATAACCTGTACGATTATAAAAAATTGCTTCAAAAACAAGTAATAATCCGTTCAGTTATAGATCATAATCTGTCACAAAATCATCTCATGAAAATTTGTGATAAACAGGTGTGGACGTCAGCTATAATAAAGCATGGAGGGCAAGAGAGATTGCACTAGAGATTATGAGAGGTACACCTGATGAATCATATTGAGATATACCTTCCTTCTTATACATGTTGAAGAAGACAGACCCCAGATCCGTGATGGACATTGTTTGTGACAGCGATAGTAAATTTGTTAACATGTTCATGGCGGTTGCAGCATCAATTAAAGGTAGGGAACATTGCAGGCCAGTAATAGTAGTAGATGGAACGTTCCTGAAATGCAAATTTGGTGGAACATTGATCACAACTTGTACACAAGACGCAAATAATTAAGTTTTCCTATTGGCCTTTGCTATCTGGGATGCCGAGGATGATAAGACTTGGGAATATTTTTTTGACAAGCTTAGTAAATCTTGTCATGAAAGAGACAACAAGTGGATCATTTTGGATCGTCATAGGAGCATACACAAGATGGCAGCATATTACTATAAAAGGCATATTTTGGATATTGCAACTCCCACCTTGGTCAAAATTTGGAAACAAAGCTCCTTGGTGTTGCAAGATTAATAGGTCATCACTTCAAGGGAGCATGAATGGCATACAACAACAATGACTTTGAATTCCACATGGAACAATTGGATGAAATTCATCTAGGGATTCGACCTTATCTTGAGAAAGTGGGACTTGAGTAAGATTTTTTCTTTCCTCTCAATTTAACTTCTAATACCAAACAAGTGAAGGTAATCTCATTTTCTTTCCATCTTCTCATACCAAACAACATAAAAGAAAATCAATTTTCTTTCCATCATTGTTATTTTCCATCACTTCCATATTTTCTTTCTATCCTATTTTCTTTCCTTCCTACCAAACATAACATAAAAATTTGGGGACAAAAAGGTCATTTCAAAAATGTTTAAAAATCGTTTTAAAATAAATAAATGAAAGAGGTAGGCTTTATTAGAAGGGTATAAATTATCATCTAGCTAATCTGGAGGTAAACTATACAATTTTCTCTTTTTTTAAAATAAGAAATCTCTAATTCCCTCCACAGATTACACTATGCACCTTCCACCTCGCTCGCCTTGCAACCTCACTTTCCCCCATCACACTTCTACTGCCCCCCCTTTATAGATATCCTACAATTACTGCCCCATCTTGTTCCCCAACAAATCTTGGCCATCCTACCCCCAGTTCAATCTAATGACTCCTATTTTTGCCCCGCGAAAAAGATTTTTTTATATATAATTTTTAATATCCTTATGAAATTTTCTAAATTGCACTATCAGGTTAGGAATTTTTTTTTTAAAAGGTTATTCCTCAAGTTTTGACTTTTAAGTATACTTATACTCCGAAATAAAAATCTCCTAATGTGGCCTCATGGTCGGATGAGTTGGGTTTTGACGAGGTGGAGGAGGGGGGTCACCAGCACTGACATAGTGGTTATCCACAGTTGTGGTTCTAGCTCCTTGCAACTCTACGTTTTCCGGCCTCTTTAGTGGCATACATCGATTTGTCTTTGGTTGTTCATCCCGTGGTGTTAGGATTGTTTTTGTTTTATAGTAAATGGTTGTGTCAAATAAATGGCGACATTATTTCTGCCTTACAGGTTCTTTTGTTTCATTGTTTTGTTTTTAGTTTGAGTATGTAATAATGAGGGTGATTTTCCCACCTTCCGAGTTCTCTAGTAGTCCACATTTGTGATCTGGCAGTGTTCTGGTTCCGTTAGACTTATGTTTATCCGAAGTTGTTAGTAGCCTTAGTGCTACAGGTTACTTGCTTTCAATCGATTGGAGGATTTCGTCAATTGTATAGCTTTTATGAAAACAAACATTATGCGTGCTCGATTATTGAAGCACCAAAATCGGATTTCGTTGTAGTAAGTCCTCCCTGACCTTCATCATATTTTACTATAAGATCTGAGGGTTTTGTTTTGTGCACCACAGATCATTCACATTGGTTTTTGTATCTTTCATTTATATCTTGAATACAATTCGCCTTTAAAAAAGAAAAAGGAAAGAACATGAACATCTATCGAGAGAACGTACAATAAAAGGGAAGCCCAAAATTGGCGCTAGTAAATATATTCCGTATAATAATTGACTACAAAGCAGGATACAATCATGCACCCAACTCGATCCCACAGTACGACACATAAAAATGGTCGTTTTCATCTAAAAACCCCTTTAGAAATACTGCTATAAAATCCCATATTTTCACACTAGAACAACAGAAAAATAAAACTATATACCGTTCAAAAACAAAACTATATAAGGAACCCACCACTTTTGATGCATGCACATTTGAAGGTTTAAATTTTAATTACTTTCCACTGCCGTGGAGTGCATGCATCAAAAAAGTAAAATGCAAAAGGGAAGAGAGCACCCCACTACGTGAAAAAAAAAAAAAAAAAAAAACAAAAACAAACAAAGAGGAGAGGAAAAAAAAAGAAAAGAAAAGGAAATCTTATTGGGAATTCTAAAAGGCATAAAAAGAATCCCAAGTTAGTCAAACAAGTTCCTGAGTGCATTCCGCTTTCCACATGGCTCAGGCAACAACTCCTTTTGATTGTGCCTTTGAGGAATTATGCCACTTTCTTGATGAGGAGCAATAGATTCAAGATTGTCGAGAATTACTCCTTGCTTTTGCATGTAATCCTTTTTGTCTTGGAAGAGGTAAAAGAAAGCAATGAGAGAGACCTCCACTGTGAAAAGGATGGTCCAAAGTCTTGTGCTTCTAGACGTTTTCTTATGGTAGGCCTCTAATCCTGTGTAAATGTTTATGATACCAACAAGTGATATCAAAGTTCCAAGGATCCAATGAACAAAGTACCACATCTTCCTTCCCTTCTTCTCCCTGCATGTGCGCCAAGAAAGTTTATATAGCTTGTCCATTATTAAAATGAAAATTTACATGCACAACTATTATATATGGCGCATGTCATCCCCTCACCAGTACCGATCTCTCGTAATAAGTATTAGATTGGGCCCCCTGATTAAGTACGACTTATATATAGTTCCTAATGTTCTATTCTTCTTACTCTCACTTTATGTACAGCCATCATATTAGTTTTAAAATACTTACTTTAAATGGTGAAGATCTGATAAGGTATTACTGCCGAAAGGTTCAAAATGAGAGATGATGGACAAGGTTTTGTCTTTGGTGAAATATCATTATAAACTTAGATGCCTTTTTAGTGGAAAAAAGGTTACTAGCTAATACTAACAGGAATTGGTTAATTTTACCTCTGAGGCCTGAAAAATCCGATCATGCCTTGTATCCATATGGCACTATAGAGTACTAGACCTATCCTTTGATGACTATTGTTGAATGAATTCTCGAAGTGTTTTATAGACATCACGGCCCCAACTGTAGCCAGAAGAACTGAAAGCATCTGCTAGGGATGAAAATATAAGAACTTCAGTAAGTTAAGGAAAAAAATTTGGAGAATTGTAATATTAATATTGCAAAGTTCTCATCAATATCTTTGATATATGTCTCTATAACCGTATGAAATTAGCCTAAAAGTTTATGATTTTGTCTTCAATTGGGTGTGTTTGTTACGTGATATCATAGTGATGGTTTGTGTTATGGTACACTTGACTTAATTATATGATAAAGATTTGCAAGCTTAAATAGGAAAATGTATATGTGTTATTATTTTCTTTTTTTAATCATAAGAAACATGTATCTGTCCAGTAAACAAAAACATATTTGTTTTCTTGATATTCAAGTTATTCATAATCAATGTCCTTGCTTGAGTTTAATTATTATATTTATATGTTAGAAAACTCTGGGCTATTAAACATTTTTAAAAAAGAAAAGAAATAGTGGACACCATCATTAAAGTTAAAGCGGGACATGATGATGTTTCATACCAGAAACAATGGGCTGAAAAAGAATACATCTTGTGACGAGCATTTTCTAGAATTACAACACAACATTAATTCCAAGTCGTTGATGTTTGTGTTAATTAGCTAGATCATGATAAGAGCTTCCTCCAATGGAGGCAATTTTGTTTAAGTTCATCATGTTGAGGTATACTTAATTTATCCTCTAATTTAAGGTGAAAATGAAAAATATGAGCCATTTCACAAGAACATTACTAATCTATATTAAAATAATGGAGGACTTGCCTGCAAAATAAAATGGAGATAGTAGAAGACTTTGGCCCTAATTGATCCTTGTTCCCCTCTGCTTGACATTCTGATGGCAAGTATCCCAGCAGGCATTAAGAACCCCATCGAAATCCATAGAAGAAGCCCATGAATTGTAATATGGGATATCATCTGAGGACTCAACTGCAAAATATTATAACATACATATACGTTGGTATCCCTAAACATTGTAAGGCCTTATTAGCTAGACTCATATAAAGTCAAGCAAGTTATATATATATATATATATAATTTTCTCATTAACTGGAGAAGGTAGGAAGGAGAAGAAAATAATTGTGAGAATCACTTGAAACTGTTTTTACCTCGTGAGAGTTGGTTTTCTTGAGCTTGTGACTGTTGGATGATCGATTTCCATCTTCATAGGAAAAACAGGCAACGAATGGTAGAAGATGAAGAAAACAATAGACACAGATTGTAAAAGATATTGCCAGCTTGGGAGAACTATGCATTCTTCAATACCCAGTTGAAGCAAAGCTTAATTAACAAAACAAACTTATCAGTCAATTATCACTCTCTCTCTCTCTCTCTCTCTCAATAAGTTTTCATCATTGATGTTTAGTAAGAGGCCATTATATCTAGCTATAGACTATAGGCTTTTACATATTATATAAGGGATTTGGAGACTATAAAATATGGGAAAGTAATTACGTTAGTGTTTGAAGAGAGATCACTTTTATATTTACTTTTCTAAAGTCGTAACTAGTTTAAATGTCAATGATGTAATAGCGATAGATTTATGAGCTAGCCATTGCGTAGCTAGGCACTTTATGGATGTTTGGTGTGTGAGAGAAGATCAACGTATATCCGAAAAAACAACTGAAATTAGTGGATGAATCGTGGAGAGCATAATAAGTTGTACGAAAGATCAAGATTTCAACAAAGTAGGGTTGACACGTCCGGTTTATCTTTTGTCTTTGAGGTGGATTTAAGGATTACAGTATCACGCAATGAGTCAAAGTTAAAATGATTGGAAAGTTGAGTTTAGCCTCAAAAACTAATTACTTATTCATAGAACGATGTCGGCTAGCTAGAGCGTCTTCCTTAAAAAAGAAAGAGAAAAAAAAGAAAAAAAAAGAGTACTGAGTATTAAACTCAAGACCTCGATTTTACTGAGTGCTGAATTATAGATAAACTAAAGTTATGACCACTTTTATAATCTCATATGAGATTTATCATTAATCTCATTTATGTTCCTGACTTTTAAAATGTCACACAGTTAGTTTCTAAAGTTTTACTTTGTTTCAGTTTCAGTCATTTTATTAACTTAGTGTTTAATAGTTGTCAGGATTATCTGTGAAGGTTAGGGACTAAAATTGAGAACATATAAAATGTAAGAACAAAAATAATTCAAAAAATAAAAGTTAATTTCCACAGATAATCTTAAAATCTTAGTTGTTTTCAATTTTTGGTTTTCAATTTTTGGTTTTTACTTTACACGGATTCCATCAAATTTTAATATCCAGTTAATAGAAATGACTGAAACTGAAACAAAATAAAACTTCAAGAACTAACTGTGTGACGTTTGAAATATGTCAAAAACTAAAATGGGATTAAAGATAAAGCTGATGGACCAGAATTAACCCTATTATCTTTAAAACCGTATAGGATCTTCGTAAAAGAAGATTATAATACAATGAGCGCATGATTATTAAGTATAAGGCATCTACAAATCCTTTCAAGTTTTGAGCAATATCTATGCCATTATTTTTAATGGAATTTAATGAGCAACACACTTCATGGCTTCGTCATGTAAATAGGGCAAAAAATGGCACGTAACAATTATGGTGAAGTAGGGTCAGGAACAATGAATATGTTTATGATAAAGATGAATCTCTTTATGATAAAGAGATTCATTTTGTAAGTTCGTTATTACGGGTAGTTCTTACAAAGTAAAGGATTGGACTAATGACATATTCAATACTTGAATTCTTGATGTAAATGCTACATAGTTGGCTCTCATCTTTCAGAGACTACGAGTGTAATAGGAGCATCCATTGACAAAAATATCACTCTAAGATGATCATCTCATGGCTATTGAGAATGAATCAAATCAGATGGTATTATTTCTCAATCTAACTTGCTCCTACGGAATAAAGGCCGAAAAGATTGAGAAAAATCAGTCATTCACAACCACTGATGAAGGATTCCTCAAAAAGTTAAGGATTAATAATCCTTTTTACCAATCAAATGAATTTGGTCTTATACATACGTGAGGAAGGTTAAAAAAAAAAGAAGATGAGTTCTTTTTTTTTTAATCACTTAGTAGTCGTGCAAGATGAAAGTCTCATACACGGTTTTGAATGAGAGAAAGAAGTGATGAATCCTCTTTTACGACTCTGACACTTCCACTCCACTCCAGTTGTTATTTTTCTTTATGTTATTTTGAAAATAGATGCGTCAACTTCAGTGATTTGAATTTTTAGTATTCCTATTATTTCTCATCAAATGAATATAGATGGAAGACAAAATTTATTCACATGTTATTTTTTGTTTACATAGTACGTTTAAATATAGATGGAAGACAACGGGGATAGCCAAGCAGGCCCAAACGCGAAAAATTTTAAAACAAAGAAGCGCAAGTTCAAGAAGTGTGTTGAAGCAATTGGTGCTTTAACAAGAAGGCAAGTTCAAGAAGGATTGGTATATTCTTTTGTAGGATAAATATTCCGAATAACAATCGCGAAGTACCTTCGGATCAGTAGGGTTGAAATATATATGTATCGACTGCAGCATTGGGTAAACTCGAGCATCTTGCCGGGTGCGTTCATGTTTAGTTCCAATTCGTTACTTTGAATTGACTACGGATACAGCCGTAGACCATGAGAAGATGTTGCGACAAAATTAAGGTCACAAAAGTTAAAAAAAGGAAAGCATATGTTTTCAAAGTAGATGCAAATGTAATTAGATGATACATGAAGATGTACTTTCACTTCGATGGTTTATGATCACGTCATAATTCCAAGGTAAGTTGCACAATTCATCCGGTACAAGAGTCGGAACATAATGAGCCCCACCCGACTCGTAACTAGGAAATGGTGTGAGTTACACAATTTATTGCGAAACCCGTACGTCGGCTATCTTGGAAAATATTGTAGCTCGAGAGAAAGCGTAGTTGGAATATGGCTATCCAACCGATCTGCTGCATGAGAAGCCATTAAGGGACGAGAACGTATGCACATGACAATTACTATTCCTATATAACGCTAGCTATCTTTCCGGATTCCTACTGAGGCCAATACTTTACCTAAGCAATTCAATTTGTTGCTTGACCAAGACTTGGATATTAGTTGTAAGTGAAGAACAAATTAAGATCTGAGTGGCGCCATTCTCCCAAAGGGAATATATATATA